CTGCCTGAGGGCAATGTACCCTCCCCCTTCTCACTCTTTAATAGCACAGAGCGGCCCTCGATTGTGTGGTTCGCGGGCGGGCGGGCGCACAGGCCGATTGGTCCTTCACTCTAACAAATTAGTGTACACCCTTAGAGAAAATCAAAAAACACCAAAAAAATCAACGAGTAGTCATAAAAAACCGCAAAAATCACAAAAAAAAATCACGAAAAAAACAAGAACCGCTGCCCCCTCGCGATAGGCGGGCGGCAGGGAAAAGAAGGGGAGGGGAGGCCGCAGGCAGCACTGCGCCGCCACTCCACGCCACCGCTGCGATGAAGACTGCGCGCATTGGCTTTGTGGCCTGATCGGCGGGACTGTCTTAGCCCTGTGGGCCAAATTTTTAAATTAAAGTAACGAATGCAATCGTCAAATGGTGCAGGAAATCTCTCTAACTCTTAAATTTGAAAAGCATCGGCTTTTTTTGGGTGAGCGATTAGCGAAGCCTATTACCCTATCAGGTCGGAAAAAACTTTTTCTGTCTGTCTGTCTGTCTGTCTGTGTGTCTGTCCGCACGAAAACTCGAAAACGAATTGAGTGAGCGACCTGGAATTTTCAGGGTCGTTTCGTGTCATAAAAAGACAGATCGAGTTCGAAGATGAGCATTCTAGTTCAAAAATTGGATTTTTAAGAAGTCAAAAACAACGGGTCCCAAAAATGACTTTTTTTGAAAATATTGTTTTTGAGGTTTCCTACGGCCTACGGGCTAACACATCGAAAGACATCTCATTGCACGAAAATTTTGTCCGTTTTGCTCTAGCTCAAACCGTTCAGGCGCTAGAGGGTATTTTTGACGAAAATAAGCGATAAAATGTACAGTGCTACATGTTTTGTTAATCAAAAATACGAAGTATGTTGTTAATTTTTGGGGGTATTTTTCTAACTGCATATGCGATACCGATTTTAAGGTGACGGCAAGTGTATCCATTATCCTAGCGACCTGCTTTATCGCATTTAACGACCAATGCGGCTGCATAATGATGACTTAAAAAAAATTACTGTTCTCCTAAGAAAATACTGAACATAGTTTATGAGGTATTTTAGCGGTTAGAAGAAATGAAGAATCCCCAAGATGGCCGCCGCTAGAACATAACAAACCGGCAATTGTTTTAAAACTAAAGTTTCGATTTAGCCCTTAATTTGTCTACATATAAAATCTGGGTCTACTCTGAGTCTATTCTGAGTCAGTTCAAAAAAAATTAACCCCTTAGAACCTCACAGCGAATTTAAGAAACGTCGTCTGCTGATTTGTTATGTACCGTGGCGGCCATTTTGAGGATTCTTCATTTCTTCTCACCGCTAAAATACCTCATTGCAAATTCCGTTTCTGAAAAAACTTAGACTTACGTTAAGGTTGTCTCCAAACCAGTACAGGGTAGTGAAGTTTCCGGTAGCGTAGTGTGTGTTGACATCTTGCCTATCGCGCACAAATGAAAAAGCCCATGTGCCGATTTCGCCTTTTTGCCCAAATAGATGTTCTGGACAATGCTCAGCGTGCTTAGGAATAACACGAAACGGCCCCTGATAAACATAATTTACAAATACATACTTTAACCCCGACATAATTCACAGAGTCAATCTAATTTTTACACTTATTACGTTCCGGACTTGCTTACGCGGTTAAAACGGATTCGTCGAAAAAACAAATTGTTAGTTGGGACAACTTCGCGAAATCTCACGAAACACTGTTACGCTGCGATGCGCCTGGCATACATCTACCTTGGCCTGCGGGGCTGACACCCGATTCGAGTTGTGGAAAAATGCACAGCAAACATTTTTCCGTGAAGTCCCCGGTTGATTTCGGGAAAGCACTTCCCAGTTCACTTTTCCCGCCTTATATTTTTAGGTTATGTAGGAACTTTTAAGGAAAGAACGCATATTTGAGTGAATTTTGACGGCAAACCGGTTGTAAAACAAATCTGAGGACGGCCCAGCTTCATTTTTACCAGCGCGGCTCACAAACCATCAAAAAAACGAAATTAGTAAAAAACGTAACTTCGTCGACTTGTGCTCTGCGCATGCGCCAGAGAAAACCGGGAATTTTTCCGGAAACAAACCGGGAACTACCCGGGAAAATGTTTGCTGTGATGTGGAGGAAGATACCGGCCTACGCCCTGCCACTGTCGTGCAGCATGCAGGGTTGTAACTTCTTCGCTCAACTTCGCCAAAAATATTTTCTAGCGCTTCAACGGTACAAGATAGAGCAAAACGGAAGAAATTTTCGTTACATGGCTTCTACTTTTACCAGTCACCCCTTACCCATAAAACAATATTTTCAAAAATCGTCTCTTTTGGGGCCTGTGGGTTTAGAGTTTTTTTGTTTGTTTTTTTAAATCCGATTTTTGAACTAGAATCTTTGAAATCGATCTGTTTTTTTAGGACACAATACGACCCTGAAAATCCCAGATGGGTGGCTGAATGCGTCTTCGATTTATCGTGCATACAGACATACAAACAAACAGAATGAAACTTTTCCGGTCAGTGGAGAAATGGGCTTCGCTAATCGCTCAGCCAAAAATATTTAGTGATTCCCCAACACTTTCACGTGCAACTGTGATATCACAACACTTCTTTGTAGTCGAAAATAGAAAGTACATTTTGCTGTCTTACTTGGAAACAGTAGTGAACAAACTGTAATCATTTCTGAAGTTATCAATTTTTGCCAACGAAACAGATGTTATTTCACAAAGAATTCTGGCAATTGCCGAAACTTTTACTTTTTCCACAACGAATAGGGTGTTCCAGGCCATGTAAACCGTAAGTGAAAAAGAACGAACTCACTGATTTATCTGTTTCCGTCCGCCAGGTATGAGAAATTATCATGTGAGTTTGGTCCGATCATAACCTGTCAAATATTAAGGGGAGCTCGAAACTGATCTGACAGTTTCTCATACCTGAAAGGCCGCGGAGGCACGCCCGACCAATCGGAGCCATTACGGAAACAGAAAGGTCAGTGAGTTTGTTCTTTTCCCACTTCCGTTTTAGATGGCCTGGAACACCCTATTAATTTTTCGTGCAGTTCAGACCTTTTTTTCACAGTGTGTTACATTTTAAGCAATTTTTTGCAAGTGGCGAACGGTTTATTGGTACAACGGACAGAATTCAAAGTGACACTTCTGTTTTCATGCGCACCGCAATACTGTTTAGGCGTTGGCTGTGGCACTGAAGAGACAAAAATGACACGACACCAGCCACTAACACGAATGACATAGTGTTGCAGTTCAGAGGGCTAGTGCCATACTGACAGCATCAAACTCAATGTCACAAAACACGCCAACACAACTAACACTATTGTGTTGCTCTCCTTGATAGCAATTCCTCCCACCCCATTAAAAAAAACTGACACCGCACGTACACGCAAACTCACCTTTACTAACATTCAAACAAATTCGCTCACCCACCAACACGACCCCCACCTAGGTAGATGCCAGGGTGTATATAACTTAACGATACATTTAACGTGACGGTAATTTGGGTGTAAACGTTTAATTCGTTATTAATTTTCTGTAGTTAATTCTTAAAACGAATATATTTAACATTACATACGCAAAAATATAAAAAAATAGCCGAAAAAAAAGTAAATAGATTCTTGGTTACCGCCCCACAGAGGGCTGGATCCAGAAAAAGGTGGACATTAATTGAGTTTCGAGATCTCTGGCCCGTGAATTTTATTTTCAAAAACTAATTCTAGAATGTTCAAACTATCGAAAACAGGTCGCCTTTTATCGAGGGGGAAATCACTAGGGTTCGTAGCGTACGGACTATTTCGTGGTATTTCTCCTACCATTTCGGTTATTTCTCCTGCCATTTCGGCTATTTCCCACCTATTTCAGATTATTTCAGGCTATTTCGCGCTATACCGGAGTATTTCAGGGGTATTTCCCGACTATTTCGCGTCTATTTCGTGTTTATTTCGCTCTATTTCGCCTTTATTTCGGGGGAAGGTGTACGAACTATTTCGCAAGTGGTTTCCCCCTCGCCTTTTATCTCTACGTGTCCTTGAACAGTTTTTCTGAGCCCGCAAAGTTTGCATATCTGCCGCCAAGAAAATGCGCGCGCGGGTCACCGTAACTTACATGATTTAGCAAAGCGATAGCTCTTTACCTGGCTCACAGATCCCACAATCAACATCTCTCTGGAAGCCTGTAATGTGAAGAGGCGTTTGGGGAGTGCCACCTTTCAATTGAGTTTTAAAACGATTTCCGTCGTTTGAGGCATATCAGGAGAAAGATTGAACCATTGCGAAGAGATTCCGACTGCAAACAGCCGCTACAATCCGCAACATTGGCTATGAGCAGTGAAAATGTAATGCGCTTTAGAGGTTATGGTACCCCACCGTAAGTATTGTTATTATTGAGTTTTATGGCAAAGGCGACAATCGGGCCGGCTAAAATTAATAGAAAATAGGTAAATGATATTGTTTCTCATGTTGAATTATCCATAAAAGGTGACTTGTCCCTAAATAATCGACTTGCAGAGGTGCGCACTGGGCCCACCCACACTGACAGGAGAGCGGCTGACAATTTCCCTTCTTTTACTGTCGGGGCATGGAATTCCATCGCATTTCGAGTACAAAACAAACTTCTAAGCTTCTTTCATCAAATTGTAAATATTTTTGGGCAATGAAACAATTTTTTTTAAATTAGCAACTTTTTTTCCAAAATAATGGAAACAAACGCTGGAACACCGATGGAGAGTATAATCTTGGACCCTCTGAACAATTCAGGCACCAAAAAAGTTCGAAACTAGTCGTTAGGGGCCGTCTAGGAATTATGTTCACCTTTTTTCGGATCCAGCCCACTTTGCCCCCCCCCCCCCCCCCCTGCTGCGTGCGCGCGGCCCGGCCAGACACTCTGCGAATAGCCTACACTGGCCTTGCACTGTACCGTTCGTGCCAGAATCTTACGAACAAATCCTTGCGTGCACGTCACTTCACACAACAGGCATAGAACTTTATAACAATAGAACTAACTTTTTTCTACGCTCCGTGTCATGCTGCATCCCCCTGAGTTGTATTCAGTTCAGAAATGCCCGGGAGGGGAGCCCGCATGGCCAGGCGCGGGCATGAACCGTGGCGGGAGAAATTTCTCTAGGTGAAACCCAGCTCCGCTAAGCTATGCCACTCACACACTTTGCGCCGCGCCACGCGGCCTGAACCCCGATTGACCTTTTCTCAACACGTTCACTGCGTCAAGATCACTATGTGGTCGGTCAGACGCAGACCCCACTTTGAAAAAAATGTGGAGAGGCTATCCTTCTGAGGAATGAAAATTTCATTTACGGGGGCATCCTAGTGTAGCGGGCTTAAAATAGGGGTGTTTGGGGGAATTTCTTTTAAAAAAACTAAAGCTCTCAGAGCAAAACTGATTGCGGGATTTAATAGCTAGCACTTAAGGCTACAAAATCCATTGTCGCCGGTGCCGGTTACCCCTCGAGTAGCGGAGCTATCCCCCATGAGGCAACACGCTGCAGCAATGTCATCTCCTCATAGTGGGCAGTCTGGAGGCCGAGCCGTTGGTTTTAAACAGTCGGCCAAAAAAGGAAATTAAACTTTAGGAGTGTGACTATCGTGTGAACCAGGAGTTTTGCGATAGAGCAAAATTTACCATTTTTTAGAACGCCTCAAACTTTTATGATAAAATTTTGACTAAAAATCTTAATGTTTTCAATTTTTTTCACTGTGAAGGAGGTATCCGAATACAGATATCCTGGTTCACACGATAGAGATACGCGAGAGGAACAGCCACAAAAAATCGCAATCCGATCGGCCCAGCGGTTTGGCCGCTAGAGTGCCCACCGGTTCGAAAAAATTCTAACGCTAGCGCGTTAACCGGCTCCTGAAGGTTTAACGAACAGTCATACGCACACGAAGAAATAATCATTCACTTATTCACTTCAACAGATTCGTTGAAAATTAGAAGAGAGGTAAGTCTTCAAAACTTGGTTAGTGTTGTGACTCTTCGTTCTGAAGTCATCACAATTACCAAACCCAACAGCGAGGCAAGCGCCTTATAGAAACTGCTCCTTGGGCTTTCCCTAGCAATGCCAACTTGTACTCATACTTACAATTATTCAAACACATGTCATTTAACCACCTCTCAAGGGCACATGAAAACGCTAAAAAAGGGTATAAGAGGTGGGCTTAACATGAAAGTGAGGAGAGTTCATCATCATTCATTTTATCTAAAAACGTGAAGCGAGTTCGTTTGCAAAAGTTGGTACCATTGTTAAAAGCCACGCCTCCTCTACCCAGGATTTTCGTGGCCAAGCCCATTTCTAAACAAACTGTGCAGCTTTAATTTTAAATCGTTAGAAGTTGTGATTGCAATATCTTACTGCGTCGGTAAAAAGCTTATTCGATAGCTTAAGGAACGGTGCACAATCGGCTCGTTTACATTACCCTGTTTAAATTAACACCAACTGCACTAGAAATTAAAAATAAGATATGAATAATAAGCGGGAATGTGGCACATCATTCAGATTGGTGTCGCTCGCAACTGGAAAGTCATAGGAAACTTTTGAACACATCGTTCGGAAGCTCAATTTTCGGTCTTGAATTTTTGTCTCATACGTTTTACTGTTAAGTGAAAAGGTAAGTCGCAGGGATCGACAGAAAAACTGATAGAAGTGCGAACCATTGTTGGCTTGGTAGCATTTTGCCGATTTTTGGGGTGATTTTGATGTTAAATTTAATATTT